TGCTTATCAAAAATGGCAGTGTTTCCAATAAATTTGTTTTTTTTCCTTCTGTCTGCATTGTTGACGAACAACTCTCCCTTTGAATGTTCAGGCGTGAAAACAAGCATGGTATGACTGAAAATCCAAACACATAAAAGTGTTTCTAAAGTTTGTTGGAGTTGTAGAAATAACTTACACAGGAAAATTACTACCAAGAATATTGGAATGGTTTCTGAAGCACTGGATATAATTTGAAAGGGCAATTAGAAATAAAACTTCCATTACATCTCTTATTTATGTAAGCCATTACCTCATCTAAACTGAACACTTCACTTTTTTTTTTTTAAAATAAGTAATGACAAGTTACTTGAATTTCCTTGCTTTACCTATCTGTTCATCTAAAGAGCTCCACACGTAGAGACAGGATCTCAGTTGTTTCTGTGGCACTTCTCTATGACAAACACATAAAGCCATATAGCACTGGCTGGCCTAAAACATTCATTCCATGAAAATACTTTAAGAAACGCTACTGCATGAAGCTGTCAGGATATTTTTTCTCCACTACAGTTCATAGAGGCTGCCAAGAGAGAATCCTAACATCCTGATAACTTTTCTCAAGTTGTGAGATGTGTCACCCCCTAAAAGTTTGGGAAGCAGCAAGCATACAATGAACTTCAAAACGTTTTGAACTACCATGGAGAGAGAAGAGGAAACATAAGCAAGACCTCACTTGAGAAGGGTTCAGGAGACAAAAACGTACTGAACTGACAAGAGGCATCTTGCAGTTAAGTTTGGCCCTGTCAACCTTCTACTTCAATTATCTTTTTCTGAGGGGGGAAAAAAAAAAAAAGATTTCTTATAGAAATAACTATCAAATCCTAATTTCTAACTTTTGCTACAGTATTTTTTACTTGGAGAATTTTCATTATTAGCAGGACAAGATTCAAAATTAAATTGCTCCTCTTGTTCTGAAGATGAGTATTATTTAAGCTCCTCTTTCTTACAGGCACAATGGCAAAAAACGTAAATATTCTTTGCTGACATTCATATAAAACAGTGCTATTACATAAGCTTCTCAGTGTAACTGGTATATGACAAGTACCACATTCCGCAACAAACTACCACCCATAAAGTAATTTGCTAAAGCTATTTTGATTTCCTAAGAAAGTGAGGATTGTCAGTCCATCTGCCTGTCTGCTCATCTGCCTTCCAACCATTTTTAGGTCCAAACCAAATGATATGCTGACAAAGATACCAAGGTATGAAGCTCCTACAAGTTTCATAACAATCAATGGCTTAGTAGATGTTCAAACTAATGCTTGCTCTAAGGAAGAGTCATAATATAACCCTTATTGATTTTAAGGCTAGACAGCCTCTTGACCAATATGCTCACTCACATGCACAGGCTGACAAGTTAATGTGATACAGAATACATGACACAAGCTACGTAAATCATGGGATTCCATTCTGCTATAATTATTTTGGGCTGAAAAGAGCATGATTGGTCATACTGTTTTTTCAAAAAGCATAGACAGTGTCTCTGTTGCAGAAATTTTACTGCATGCTCTGAGGTAGGATGCAGATCTGGAGCGATTAAAAATTTATTTAAGCGCATTCTACCAATGAAGTGAAGAGACTGAGTAGCACAAAAAAAGACTAAAACTTCTGAGTGCTTCTGAGTGATAAAATAGTCACAGTAAGAATCCCTGAATCATTCAAAGCTGAGAAAGACTGAAGAGAGAGAAAGGAGAAGAAGTATGTGTTACAGATTACATCTTTTGCATTTTCTAAGTTATGATGAGAACCACAGGAATTGGCAAGAAACATTACACAATAAAATTCAAACATATGGTGAAAGAAATCAAATTCAAAAGGAAAATGTTAATTGAGTGTATGTTTATTAGAGCTTTGGCTGTTTCTGTGGCATCATAAGCAGTGTATTTTCCCTAAAAGAGTGGGGTAGGGAAAAAAAATTCCTACCTTGCAGAACATTTATTTGCTTGTTAGATTCTTCAACTTGCACTCGATATGCTTTTCTCTCTTCTTCCAACAGCGCTATAAATGAAAGTGAAAATGTGCCCAAAAGTTTTTCTTAGTAAGAAGTATTTCAGCTCTGTAATTAGTTTTAGTCACAACTTTCCCTTAACTGAAAAGATTAAAACAATCATATTATTTCAGTAAGTTTTCAAAGCTAGTAACTGTGTAAGTAGTTTAATAAAAAGTTAATATTAAGACATCATTCCATTATTGTGGTAGTATTACAATTAATTTGAAATTAATATAATCTGTTGCCTGATCCAAAAACTCCACGTGTGCTAAATGCAAACTGGTGTGGGAGGAGAAAAAAAAAGCTGTAAATACACCCCATAAAGAACACTGAACAATATGCAAATAAACTGGACTATACTATTTCTTGTCAAAAATAATCCATAGTTTGCTGAGGATAATGATACAGCTACATATCTGATAAGATGATCTAAACAAACAACTACCACTGAATACATTAAATTATGTGCATTATCTGACTGAAATACAGATGATTCAATACCTGTAGATGCATGTGTTTTATAAGGATGAAATATATGGAGTTCAAGTATGTATTCAATACCATGAAAAGATAATTGGTCTATCTTGAACCAAAAAGTCAGAGCTCAATCTGACTGTATACAGAGTTTAGAAAAAAAGCAAGAGTTTGACATTCTGTGCAGAAAGATGCGAATGCTATGAAACAAATTTATCTAACAGTCAGTCAGCAAAACTGGACCCCCTTTTAAGACTGCCTGATAAACACAATTTTAATGGATACCCTACACAACCAAGTTGATATGGGTCTCACCTTGAAGTTCAAAGCATTTTTGTTTACTTGTCCTAGCTAGCTCTTGAGCTTCAATCAGTTCCTTGTGCAGTTGCTGAATTTCTTGCTTAGCCTCAGTCTCTGATTGTGCACCCTGCAATTCATCTGATAAAAGAACATTTTCTTTAAATCATAAATTTGTACAACAGTTTAATTTGTGCTGCCATGTGATGACTGGCGACTTTTGACTCAAATCATCTGAAGTTAGTTGAAGTAAACTCAAAATTGGATTAGATAAATATTAGCAAAAGTATTAATATACTTTTAAAAGCAGGAAAACATATGTAAACTTTAAAACATTCATTATATATAACATGCAGTATAAAACAAAAGCAAACAAGAAATGGAGAGTTTTTAAAAACACTGTATATAGATTGGCAAGAATTCCTGGATTGACAAAAACAAAGCAACAACAAGTGTAAGACAATCCTTGACTCTGTTTACAACTTGTCTATTTTTAAAAGGAAGCTACTGTAACCTTCTCTCTCCTAGCACACGCTTATCAGCAATGATCCTGCATCCCCTACCTCCCAACCCAAGCCCACCCTCCCACAGTCCTGCTCCTAACAGCACATACCAGCCCTGGCAGGCAGCATACCAGCACACGTACAGACCCAGCCTTGTACTGAGGCTGGTTAATGCCAGTCAGCTGCAAGAGATTATGCAAAGAGTTGCTATTAAGTGGTTTGCTACTGCCAATCGGCTTGCTACCACGCAAGGCTTGGCTGCCCCTCTCCCTCTGTGAATCACAACTACAAGGAAAGGAAAAATTTAGGGAAATTTCTAAAACAAAATTAAGAAAATGAAGAAAAGTCCACCCTCCTTATTTCATTCACTGGCCTAGAGAATACTAAACTACATTTTGCCCTTAAAATTTTTTTCACTATGTCTTAAAATATTAGGTATACCTTTAACACAATCAGATATCTATGCATGTTGTTTTAACTCTAAATAAAAACATTTGCTCTTCCCCACAAGTTTCGTATTAGCCAAAATGCATATTAAATACCTCTTGGGCTCATAAGAGATGAGTTGCAGTCGTAGACAAATTAAGTACTTCTAAAGCTGAAGTTTTGGGGTAATTTAAAAAGAGGAAAAATAAGTATTTGTAACAAACAGCAGTGTCCTCTAATGGGCACATGCTAGAAACTAGATGCAGTAACAAAGAGGAAGACAACGTTCTAGCCTGCAGGTATCTGCAATGCCAGGAACTGGACCCAGGAAACTCTCATTCACGAAATTTTCCTTAAGTAGTGTCTGTGCGGAAACATATCTTTCAATAGGCACAAAGAGCACTAATAAACTGAGAGTTTTAGAGAGCCAAAACTTTATATAAAGCCAGTTAGGTGAGAAAGATAAAAGAGGAAAATCAGTGAAAAAAGTTCAGCTGTACATCTTGGAAGAGGGAGAACAAAAAGGTATATGTGTTACACAGCTAACTAGTTAATAAACATCTACCACTATAGACTATATGGATTTAGGATAAAGGCACACTGCTTAGAATAAAAAACCCAAAGGATAAATTGCTTTGGTTGTCTGGACCTTTCACTAATAAGAAAAAAATACATACAAGCTATAGTTTAGTTTGTCATTATACTTGACATTCATATTTGACTGTATATGTCACCAATAAAGTAACTATAAATTTTTTTTTTGCTGTTTTCTTCATTAAAATAATTGGTTATCAAATCATGCTAAAGTATTCACACTGTATGCCTCTAAGAAAAGAGGCTATGTTTTTCCTATTCTCACAGTAATGAATTGGTGGGCTCGAATAGAGCCGAGGGCACACACGTGCTTTTAGACTTTTTCAGAACAAAATTATGAGAGCAGAAAGAACAAAGAGGACTACATATTTCATCCAAATACTTTCTCTTTCATAGTTTATTAGAGTTCCAAATCCAAGTTTCTCTTTACTGAACATGTTTTGTTCTTAGCTTCTCATGACTAAAGACTTGGGGCAATTAGACTTCAAGCCCTCCTTAATGAGACTGTTCAGAAGAAATGGATGAGAAAGTTGACAAATTATGCTCAAATCATGCCCGATAAAGAAGCAGTGTCCCAAATCCAACAATAGACACCCTAAATGAACTTTCTGGCGGACAGTATTTTTCAGTCAATGAAAGCACACGTCATAAAAGATAATACTGCTTCAAAGGAGATGAGGGACTCAACTTGTGGGACAACATAATCAGTTTAGCAAAAGCACAATGAAGGTAAAAACTCTTTCCTACTCAAATGCAATAGGGGAATTTCCATATGACATGCTTCTAAATCAAAAGCCAAGAAATATAAGGATGAGAAAATAACAGCTTTTCAGTCTTACCCAAACTGAAAGTTTCTTTAATGTCTTTTAGTTCAAAGCAAACATCATTTCTGTGCTAACTCTAGTTTTGAAAAAAATTCCTTAGTGAGTAGGATTGCTCTATTTATAAATAATAAACCTACTAGTTATCATCAGGCTTAGATTTAGTTCTCTCAAGAAGCAAACTCACATCACGAAAACCTGGTTTTAGAACCAACGTAAAAGGCTGCAATTAAAAAAAGTATTTGAGCAATTTCCAGAAGTATTCAGCATTGGACTAACTGTTCTCAGAGAAGCCTAAGGAATTCTATCATTAGTTACAACAAGGTGCCCCCCCCCCAAAAAAAAGGTCAAATACAACAGTTTGAAAACGCTCATTCATTTATTCTAGCTCATGGAAAATTTTAATCTGTGATCAGATTGTTTGCCATGTTACAACAAAGGTTCTTAATTAACACCACCTTGTTTCACTCTCTCTTTCTCTCCCTCCCTCCCCCCCCCCCCCCCCCCCTTTCTTTTCCCGAGCTCTTTATTTATTGATTTAAAATTCTTAAAAAAAATTAGCGTGATCTGTACAAATCATTCCCAAAGCACATGAAAACTTCTCCTTCAATCTAGCCCAAGAAAAGGAGTCTAACCCATAGGTCAGTTTTGGGGAAAAGTGACCATTTCCAAATCATTAAAGAACATGATGGTGTGTGAAGGAGTATTTTGCAATTTTAGGATCTATAAAATAAAATTTCAATAAAACCAAAAGAAAAACAAAGCTCAGATTAAATTAATATTTACAAACATGAAGATATTAACAGAGCTCTGCTTGTATGTTTGCCTTTACACTTTTGTTTTGATAACAGAGATGATATAGAACCACACATAGGCTGTGGTCTCAATTGATCCCTTCTCTGTATGCGCCTGGCCTGTGGAAACAGCTTTATAAGCAGGCTGGTATTTCTCCAAGTCTCACAGTAGTTCACTTTCAGAATTTTGCAGAATTTTTCAGATGACTATTTTCAGAGTACTCAGGTGAAGTCAGATAAACAATTAAAACCTCGAGTTTTCTCCAGCTTCATAAGATCCACATAAAGCAAACTGTATCATATATTTAAAATAAAGTATTCGGCTACTGCAACATAAAGCAATAGTTCCCAAACTTTCTGAATCAACAGACCATTGCTGATTTTCAAAGTTTCTTACGTAAACTACCACTATCCAGCAAACCCTCAACTGAAAACACTTTTTATTAAGATTCCATGGATCAGTCTTGTAGTTACAATGAAAATATAAGGACGTTGATAAGAACAAGGTAACTAACCTTCCAATGACATTTATTGCTCCTTTCCATCTGTTTAACATTTACCTGTGTTTAACTTTGCAATAAGTAGTCACAAATAGCCTGTCTAAATAGAAGCATCCAGGGAATTGTTATTAATGAATAATAAAGTTGTTTACCTCGTGGGGGGAAAAAAAAAGCAGTTCTTCTAATCTGACAGCTTTTCCTGTTCCACTCTTTGCCAGATTCCGACTTGTAGAAATTTGAAAGAAATCCTGAATGCACTCAAAATTTATTGATGGAAAATACACTTGGAGGAAACTACAGCAATTAAAAGTGTCATCTTTTTCTTGTTCCATTAATTTGTTTTGTAAATTCCAACAGTTAAACAAAAAGGAATGCTGCCTTTTCCAGCAGCCGTTTCCGCATTCCAAACAGCTGCCAGATCAGAAATGTTCTCACTCTTCCTTAATTACATGGCTGCATAACAAATCCACTTGAAAGTCTTTCTGTGGCAAATAAGATCCTTTTTAGGGCAAAGTCAAGCATATGAAGTACTCTCCGACAAAACCTCAAACAAAACTGCAGGTTTACAGGCTCTTCATAAAAATTACGAGGGCAAATGATTCATTGTACAGATATTTTTTTAATGGTCTCAGGAGAGCAAAATAGGATTGCCCATAAATAGCCTCAAGAGAAAAAGTTATTCCAATTATTTTAGTTAATTATAATATGTAATTCAATAGCAAAGCGGTCTATGCAAATAGGTATTTTTCTATTTATTCACTTAAAAGTTCAGTAATGGTTATGGTTTAAATCTTCAACTGGGTAAAGACAGATGAAGCAATGAGAACATCCAAATTAGCAAAAGACTGCTTCCATGTTACCACAGAAAATTTGATTTTAGTCCTTTAAGAATTCAATTAACCCTCCCTGCTAGTTTCATATACCCTGGACAGAGAAAGTATAACTACACCTGACCCTTGCCATGACATGAGACTGTTCTAATCCAGGAAGCAGCATGCTCACAGCAGCCTTATCTTGGTCTTGGGCTGTTAAACGAACCTTTCTGACAACTTAGGAAGACTTCACTTGCATATAAGGAGAATTCAGGAATCAGTAGTTTTCAGCCTGAGGGGTCGATGGACTACTTTTAATGTGTCTGCAGCAGACAACTAAGAAATCCAGCCAATTATGAGTAGTCTTCACCTGGCTACATGGGAGCATTGTTTTTTTGGGGGTTTTGGTTTTTTTTTTTTTTTGAGAATCCAGAAAGGTAGAAAAATCACTAAGTCAGTGGACCTACCATGATTGCTTGTTTTTTTAAAAAGTGTATAGGTGTTTAAAATGTTTAGCTAACTACTTTGATTTATTAATATATTGTACAAGAAAAGTTATATGCATAGAAGTCAAGTCTGCAGCATAAGACATTTTTCCTCATATGACAATATAGGTATTTGAAGTTGTTGCCTATTCTGAGACTCATTACAAAGTTCAATTTACATGGCTGAAAAATTAGCCAAGACAAAAGTGTATCTTAAAACTATAAGAATTAAAATTAAAATAATTTTGACGTGAGCTGGCTGAATTCAGTTTCTCTTCTGTACTGTTTACATACAAAGGATTGTTCCAGCTGTGAATTCTGTACATGTGACACTGCTCACGGGAAACAAACTCCTTAACGTGTATCCCAAACAAATTTTTGTTTTAAAGTTCTGATATGTAACGAACATAATACTTCCTAACCGATTTTTTTCAAACAAAACTTGCTGCCAACCCCAAATTTATTACCAAAAATAAGACTATCATAATCACTACAAACAATATTACCAGATCCTACCTTCTAACATAGGAAGTCACTGAATATACTTGCTATTAATTGCAGACGTTAGAGCAAAACCCAAACGCAACATGCTCAGTATCGCAAACACTCATTTTTAAACTGTTTTGCTGAACTGATATCCACTGGAAAATATCACACTCAGTTTTAGTTTTGCTGTTTGGAAACATATATAATACATGCAATTTTTGGAAGTCCTTCCATTATAAAATTAGAGAAGTGTGAACAATTATAAAAAAGGTCTTTTACAGGTCTCCTAAATTTCATTATGGTTTCCTGGTTTTCTGAACCATGAAGAACTGTGACATTCTTTTTACTTGTGATCCCAACATAAGCATCATTTTACGGTTCCTATCAAATGTCTAATTGTACGTAAAGCATAAAATTAGCTTTCAGTATGCTAAATGTAACAACTAATTAATATCCCACAAAATTTTTCAGCTCATGAATATTTAAATATTAGCTTTCTAATCGAGTTTTAAGTACCTTCCTTCAGTGTAAAGAGCAGTAAAAAAATTCATTTTATAGCTACGAAGCTCAAAGCTAAGGCTCAGCAGTCATTCTAGATACAGTTACAACAGGAAATTCAAATCTTGAGTGTGTTAACCAAAAAAAGATTTTAGATGTTCTTTTTAACCTATCAGGTGCAAACTAACAGAAGCATTTCTGACAGTGATGGAAACTATACAAGCAGAATTCGGCAATGCTTAAAATGTCAGTGATGGAACAATGCCTTCTCCCCACAGCTATAAGCCCTAACTTAAGCGTATGCTGGAACTATTTCTCAACTCTGCTTGAAGTTATAACATGTAAATTCCTAGAACAGTGTTGGTGAGTGCAGAAGCTAGCTTTAAGCACAAATTATTTCTATACTAACACTCAGAAGTATGCTTTTGTACCACATCACCCAAAGGAATCATTACTGATATTTAAATGTAACTCTTCCATACTACCATGATTAAAACATTTGAATTTCAGCACGCTACTTCAATGCACATTTGATAAAAAACAGGTAGCCAAAAAGATAGAAATATATATACACACACACACAGATTATGCATCTAAAGTTACAAAACCAAATTTGTTTACCTTTTAGAAGAGCTACTTTAGCAATAGGTTCATTTAGATCTTGGTCATCCATTTGGGCATCTAAAAAAAAAAACCCACCACACCTTTCAGAGAGCAAGTAGACTGCAGATGATTTTCATATACGCATTCTTTAAGCAAAGACAAGCTTTTATGTTCTTCTCACTTTACAACAGTTAATTACAAAGTCACAAATGGACAATACTGCTCTAAGCTTGTATCTGGCTCCACATAATACACACGTTCTCCGCTCTTTTACAAAATGAATTAAATCACTTAATCATGAGCAAACTAATTAGATGTTACAGAAATCTCAGTTAAACGCTTACCTGTAGTGTCGTCGCTGCTTTTCTCCTTGCTTGGACTAAGAGTGTCCGACAAATCAGATTCTTTGACTCTTGCTTGATTCTCTGTAAGAGATAAGGAAAATCAACTACAATCAGTAAATGCTTTGTTCAGTCTCTTTCTATTGCTAAATGTCGATAGAAAACAACATAGTTAAAGAAACATTTGAAAACCTGGTTTGGTTGCTTATTTCCTTGTAAGTCTGGGCTAAAATGGATTCAGCACCACTAAAGTCATTAATCTAGCCTAGCATCTAATAGGGGATGCAACTGCCTCATGCACAGCTTGAACTTTTGTTAAAGCTGTACTCTTGCCAGTTGGAACTCTGTGCAAAAGCTGATTCAATCAGGGAACAAATAAGAACAGAAAACTAGAACAATGCAGATACTGTAACAAGTCAGAAAGAAACTGCTGTTAATAAAACCGTGCTTCAGTATTTTGGACAAATAAAACAATAGCAACAAGTCTTGTATATATTGTATTGTTAAAAAAAAGTGTGGTATGAACCAGTGAAGAATCACAGCAATAGAAATTAATACACTAATTTCTAGAAAGAATTTTCAGTTCAAATTGTATTAAGAGAAGGCAGTCTATGTCCTTTCCACCAAAAATACCTTCACGAAGTAACTGTTCATACACAACTCACCACATTATTACATGCAGCTTAGTGAAGCCACACAGTTGTTTTCGGTTTGCCTTTTTTTTAACCAGTTCTAGATATTTAATGGAGACCAGACATTTTCAAAAGGTGAGGGGACTTAATTATACTAGTGCACCCTTTTCCCACACAGAAGTATCCCTGACTCAGAGTCCAAATACTTTATGAGGCTATAATTTTTTTTTTTTTTTTTTTTTTCCCTCAAAATGACCATTCCAGTTTAGTTCTGATGGGTCCATTAAACAAAGGCACACCATCTCTGGTGTAGACAAATATAGTAAGTTTGTCAGCAAGGAACCATGTCACCAATATGCAGGTGAGGTTATACGTAATGAAGTCTTTCTTGACTGACTATGCAGAGCCTTGGTTTGACAGCATCGCTGCCCACCCACAGACTAATAGAGGTTTCCTCTAAGTCTCAAGTTCCAGGTGGAGAGATATATATAAAAAGGCATCATTACAACATTCGCAATATACAGACTTTACTTCTACCATACATGCAGAAAAGCACGGTGAACACAAATAATTCCTTCACAGATACTGTAGATGCAACACAAACAGGACACGGGAAGAAAGATGCACAGCAATAAAGAAATCAAGTATGTTATACCAATAGGGTTAGTATATGAAAATATGTAAAAAACAAAGGAGTAATGAGAAAGCTTGTGTGCATTGTTTTTTCAAATAACAAGAACAAACAGAACCAAACAAACCCAAAATGAAAGAAGTGGAAACTGAAGGCAACCTGTGCACTTACACTGGGAAATTAGCAAGATGACAAAACACAGACAGGTTAATAGAAAAAAAAAGTTTTCTTCATCTAACACAAGAAGTTTTCTATTTCTCTGTGCCAGAATAACATCCACTTGTACATGAAACAGATGATCAGCTACTTTGTTTGTATTTGCCAAGAGCCAGACTCTTCCTATCTTAATGTAACTGAAATCAACTGGAGAAGGAGAAGGGGAAAGGGAAAGCACCCATACACTTAAAGCGCATTAGGGGTTCGGACCTGGCAGCTATTCCAAACATATCTCATATGACTTCAGCAGACTTCAAAGCTCATAATGACTGGAGTAGTTAAAACTTGAGGTTTGGGGGTGGTTCTTTGCTAAAACAAAAAGGGTACTTCCCCATTATTAGGAATAAGGTTTTTAACTAATATCTAAAGATGTTACAATACAAAGCATTTTACATGTATCATATAGAATCAAGCTCACAAGATTGCCATTAAAACTGTAATAATTACTAAACAGTAATACATTCTTTTTAAAGTATTAAGAAAAGTATATCTTAAAAGCCTCACCCATGTTGTTTATATTAGCAGCCAATCCAGAAGCCCTAAGCTGACCAATATCCGTATCCAACTAACTTTACCATATCTGGTCATACATGGAAACACAGCTTTCTTGCTCTGTGCAAAACGGGAGGAACAGTGCAAGTTCCAACCACTGAATTAATTCTCTCTCCCTCCACCTCCCTCCCATACTCCCCTCCCACCCACCCTCGGGTAGACCAGCTTTTTCCTCCCTCCTATCCTCCTCCCCCTGAAACAATGAACAAGATTAGGCACTAGAGGAAAGATGCATCAGTTTCTACATCTGAAACAGCAGAAGTCAAAAAGAGAAATGGTTTGGAAACCTGCTTCCTATTCTGGAAC